TGCCTGAGCCCGCGGGTTCGAGACCCGCCCGGGCAACTTGGCAAGACCTCATCTCTACAATAAATAAAAAATTAGCCGGGAGTGGTAGTGCATGCCTGTAGTTCCAGCTACTTGGAATGCTGAGGCAGAAGGAGCACCAGAGCCCAGCAGGTCGAGGCTGCAGTGGCCGGGAGCGTGCCATTTCACTCCAGTCTAGGCGACAGAGACTCCAACTCAAAAAAAAAGAGACAAAAACTGAGTGAGGGAAATGGCCAGTTTCCTCCTACCCTGGAGCAAAGGCTGTAAGGGTTTTTTTGGGGGGTTGTTTTTATTTGGGGAGGTTTTTTTTGTTTATTTGTTTGAGTTGAAATGTCACTCAGTTGCCCAGACTGGAGTGCAGTGGCACAATCACGGCTACCACAGCCTCAATCCTGGGCTCAGGAGATCCTTCCACTTCAGCTTTCCACTTCAGCCTTTCAAGTAACTGTACCTACAGGTGTGCACCAACATGCTTGGCTAATTTCTTTTTTTGATTTACTGTAGAGATAAGGTTTTGTCATGTTACCTAAGCTGGTCTCAAACTCCTGGGCTCAGGCAATCCACTCGCCTCAGCCTCCCAAAGTACTGGGATTACAGGCTGAGCCACCGAGCCAGGCCTATTTTTAGCTATTCACGTCATAAGAAACATCTTTAGAAGTATTTCCTTCTTTCAGAGTTAGGTGCTTAATTCTAGTTCTCAATCCTTATTTCTTTTTTCCAATGGCATTTAGGTACAGGTGTAAGGTTCCATATTGTCAATGACTTACCATCTTGGGACACAGAGGCTGGACAGATAGCTGTTCAGGGCCTTTTCACACCTGAGGTTATGACTTGAACAGCTGTTTGGTTTTGTTTGTTTTATGGAGGGGATATATAGCGCTCTGGTTTTGAGCTTTTGTGAGTGACATGAGTACCACTGTGGCTCTCTCCCTCAACACAGGGTGAAGTCCTGGGCATCACTAGGTTTGGCCTGGCCAAGATGAAGGAGAGTGTGCTGATGCTGGCTTCCTTTGAGAAGACGGCTGACCATCTCTTTGATGCTGCCTATTTTGGACAGAAGGACTCCGTGTGTGGTAAGTGTGACATTTCTAGGAGCAGCATCAAAGGCCTTTAGTTGACAGCTTAGAATGTGGCACAGGGGAGGGGTGAGCAAAACTGAGTAGCCAGAGTATTTATTTTTTCCAAGACTAAAGTACAGATCACAAAATTGGAACTGATGGATCTTTTATTTCCAAAGCCTAGATATAGCATCCTACACCCCCCTACATCTGTGAGAAGGCTTCTCTCTGTCAGTACAGTTTTTGAAGAGGAAAAAGAAGAAAAAGCGACCCTGAGTGTGTAGGAATTTTTCTAGTCCTTGGCATTGTAGCCCTTGACACTGATCCTATGACACCAGGGTTGGCAGGAGGGGGCTGTGGCTCAGTGATACCAGGCAGTAGCAAGGCATCTTACTGTCCTGACCCCCTGGGGAGGCAACAGATATGCCATTGACACTTGCCAAACCCTTTGCTAGCTTGGCACTGTAAGTGCTAAGTAGTTCAACCCACCCATGGGGTGTTGGTATTAAGCTCTTTCCCAAGTGAGAAGACTAAGGTAACCTCACTTACCATCGAGTCCACCTGCAGAACCTTGCCATGGACTGCACTCCATCCTCCCCACATCATAGCGGAGCTTTGATGGGGGCATCTTGCCTGGGAGAAGGAGTGTGAGGGGGAACTGGCATCACAGTGTGTCTGGCTTATCCGCCTCTTCCCCTGAGATCAGCACTGGCTGCTGGGATTTGCTCCAGCCTTGATTCTGTAGCAAGTCCCTGCTGGCCTGAGATGAGGGACTGGGGCTCAGGAGGGTGGGTAATCTGCCCCAGGTCATGTGCCAAGCAGACCCTAGTATGGATTACTAGTCTGGCTGCCATTTCCAAGCCAGAGCTCTGCTTCCCGGTAGTCTTTCCTGTCTCACCTCCTACTCTGGTATAGATGTGCCAGAAAGGTGATGGTCTGGTGGGGCCTCATTGCAAGCACACACCTATTGTTTGCTTCTAAGATTGACTCTTCCAAAAGAGGCATGGATTGGAGATGGAAGGAAGGAAAAGTACATACTTCTTTAAAATAAAGAAGAGAGAGGCCGGGCTCGGTGGCTCAGCCTGTAATCCCAGCACTTTGGGAGGCTGAGGCGAGTGGATTGCCTGAGCCCTCAGGTTCGAGAACCATCCGGGCAACTTGGCAAGACCTCATCTCTACAATAAATCAAAAATTAGTTGGGCACGGTAACGCGCGCCTATAGTTCCAGCTACTTGGAAGGCTGAGGCGGAAAGATCGCCAGAGCCCAGCAGGTCAAGGCTGCGGTGGCCGGGAGCGTGCCACTGCACTTCAGTCTGGGCAATGGAGTGAGACTCCAACTCAAAAAAAATAAAAATAAAAAATAAAATAAAGAAAAGATGGGGTTAGAGAGGGAATAGAGGGAGGCCAGGGCCAAGGGACAAGTGAGTTTACCTGACTACAGGACTGAGACCAGGACCCAACCCTGATGCCCAGAAATGGGGCCTTTGCTGCAGGCCTGCAGCCCCACCTACCACTGCCTCTCTCCACCACTGACCCCTCTGGAGGCCTGGCACCACTGCCCCACCCCTACTTTGACATTTCCTCCTTTTCCTGGTCCTTGAGCACATTGTAACCCCTTGTTTGCCCTTACTACGTGTTGGTTTTTATTTTTTCTGTTTGCCTCTCTGGATCCTTGTTAGCACAAAACCTAGCATGTAGTAGCCATTTGCTCATTTGCTGTTGAATCAGAAACCTGATGCAAAGCCAGTGTTTGCATCTTATGGAGCTTGGAGAAAGAATCTGTCCCACCAGCTAACCCCTGTAACTCTGTCGGAGCCCTATCTTCTGAGTGTTTCTCATTAGGGCCGGGACCACCCAGGCTTGGTGCCCATAAGCCTCGCTTGGCTCCTCCCCCAAGCACAGCTAACAGCTATCTGCTGTGGTTCCATGGGGACTGGAGTCTGCTCCCTATCAGCCCCAGCTGTTTGCTTTTCTTCTGGGCTCTACATTAAGGAAGCACGGGGTGGCAAACTTAGTGTTTTCTGAGCATCATTCCATTTCCTTGCTGCCTAAGTTGGGTGTTCTCAAAGGCAAGACCCTCAGGGGGTGCCTTTGGCTTGGATGGGAGAAAACTGGCAGACCTGATTCGGTTTCCAGCAAGCTGCTGGGCTGTGAGCAGGCACCCAAGGAGACAGACTTCCCCAACTTGTCTAGAAGAAGTGTGCTGAGCCTGCACTGCACAGCTACCCCTTTTTCTAGATGAGAAGAAAAGCAATTTGCCCAAACTCAGCCTGGCAGTGTGGAATACAGCCAGGACACTGAAGTCTGAAATTTTTCCTTCCTGAAATCTACTTGTGCTCAGAAGGACTCTGACCTCGGTTCTGTTTGGTTTCAGGGGTGTCTGAGTGCATCATCATGGGCATCCCAATGAACATTGGGACCGGGCTCTTCAAGCTGCTGCACAAGGCCGACAGGGACCCAAACCCTCCCAAGAGGCCGCTGATCTTCGACACAAACGAATTCCACATCCCCCTTGTTACATAGTCCAAGAGAAGAGGGGACCATTCCTGACCTCAGCTCCTTTTCTGCAGCTGACATGAAGAACTCTGTGCTCCCTGGAACAGGGACTCTGATGTCCCCACCTGTGCCAGCCATCAGAGAAGGCTCCTGGCATTCCCAGGACCAGCTCCTCTGATAGGGAACAGCTCACATTGGTAACCCTGACTGCACCACACTGCTTAGAAGAGCTGAGGGTTTTACCGTTTGCTTGTTTGTTTGTTTGTAACCCAATCTATGGGCGACCCAGCACCTCCTAGGTACCCTGCCTCCCTGGATTTAAAAGAAGGTCGCTTAGGTGGTATTGCCCATCCCCCCTCACCTCATCCCATTCATTGGCTCCCTGTAGTATCTTCACGTCTGACGGTGAGCTAGCGGTAAACCCGTCACGGGCCAGGGCATGTTCCTGGATTTGCTGTTCCTCGGTCATCTGTATGTAGTCTCTCACTGTGACATACTCATGTAAATATTGTCACTATTATTTATTTGTTCCCATGTGAGAGATTTGGAATTGTTATCATTTTGGTTTTACTTCTGAAACCAAGCAACTACAGAAACCAGGAAAGTCGGCATTTAAGCATCACTGGAAAAACTGGTTCAGCAAATGGGACCGTCTAGGGTTTGTAGCTGAGCTGAGCCCGTGGTGAGACCCACACGGCACTGAAACATCTTCTGCAGCTGCCCCAAATATTCTGCTGTTTTCCTCTACCTCAGACCCCAGCGGGGGGCTCTGTCCTGTGACCAGAGCCAAACCCATTCTGCCTATAGGTACCTCCCTCTAGACCTATAGGTGCCTCCCTCAAGTTCGGGGCCTGCTGCGGTGGGGGAGGGGCAAGATGGATTTTTATAGAGTTGCACATCTATCCTTGGGACAATCCCTAGCTGAGTTCCCTGGTTCTGAGTTAACGCTGTTCAGGTACATAGCATAGCCTTTGGTTCTGGAATCTTTGTTGGAATGAATGCTTTCCCTCCCTTACTGATGGGATTCTGAATTAGGAAGTCCAGACCTGGGTTCTTTGGGGCCAGCACTCAGGTTTGGAATTTTTTTAAATGTGTAGTTTGGCCCAGTGGTCCTCCTGAGTCCACATGGTAGACCTCTGAACTTCTCTTGCGGTATCAGTGATGTGGAAAATACCATTTTTCTTAATGTTTAACTGCCCTGTGTCTTTGAATTGAACCAGCCTGGTTCACAACAAAGGATTAAGTGTGTTAAACGCTAATTTCGGGTTTCTACTTAAGGCCTTACCCAGAGATTGCTTCTCTCATGCAGCCTGGGAAGAGCCACGGAGGAATGTCCCCACTCCCCTCAGCTGCCTCCTGACAACTTGCCTGAGAAATGAACCATGAGTCTTGGTCTGCCCAGAGCCAGGATCACTGGGATACACGGACGGCAAGGGGAGGGTAGAATTGAGTTGCAGCAGGGAACGCCAGCACCTGCTTTCCTCTGCATGCAGCACACACGTTCAATGGAGGAGGGGTTGAGACCATAATATGTGACTAGAAGTAATAAAGATGGCACCACCCAGGAGCCTCATCCTGCAGGAACGAGTGCTCAATTGGGTCTGAGGAGTCGAGTTTGCGTGAGATGGATGTGATTGTGATGGGTACAGGTCAGCGGGTGGTACTTGGGAACAAGGCCAGCCTTGGAGCAGAATGGTTATGTAAGGAACACAGTACCTAGTGGGAAGTGATGTGTCCTGAGGGCACTGGTCCTTCTCCTGGTACTGCTGGCCCTGCTGGGACCACCGATGTCAACAGTGTTGACTGGTAAACTCTGCTGTCCATGCTTTCTACTGTGTCCCACAGCCTGGTATTACCATCCCCCTAATGTGATCATCCACTCTGGCCTGGCATTGACTTTATGCCAGCACAGAACTCAAAGGCCAGGTAGCAGTGTGTCCTCAAGAATGAGCTCAGGGGGGTGGGGGAAAAAAAAAAAAGAATGAGCTCAGTAGAAGAGTAGCATTTTACCCCCTGGGCCTATATGGAGGAAGTAAAAACATTTAAGTTTCATCTCATCCACGAACAGTTATGTATTTTCAAGCTAGCAGTCTGCCCAGTCCTTTGCCATTTTTACATCTTTTGTACACGTGAGATTAAAAATAGCTCCTGACTTAGTTACAGCCCCTTGCTTTGTTCAGCACTTTGCGGGTGGGAAAGACATTCTGGAGTCTTTCAGTGTTGGTATCAATTAAATTTGGTGCCATGTTTCTATTTCAGGGTTTATCCATGTGTGTTCACATAGATTCATGTCTGATTGAACTTGACATTGTATAATTATTATTTTTCTCGATTTTTGCTGTCTGTTGGCAGACCTCTTTATGTTTCTACCAAAACTCAAAAGAGAAAAACTTGGCTGTACGTAAAACTATAGCAGAATTGTCCTTGCGGGTTGTGGAAAAGGGTGATTGGGATTTGCATGAGCCCTAACTCTGGAATAAGAAATATTCCCTGCCACAAACTCCCCTCCCCAGGTGCTGGAGGTCACCAGTGAGTGCCCCACTCACCCCCACCCCTGTGACTTAGAAATGTGGGAAATAAGGCTGTCCCCTGAGGTGTGGTGAATTCAGCCCCTCTAGGAGGCCCTGGAAGGTCTCTGAAGCCTGTGAACAGCAAGTGCCACCTGGCCATGATCAGGTGCTTTTATTCTTTCATTCAACAGAGATTTAAGACCTGCTACTTGCAAGACATTGTTCTGGGTATTCAGAGTGCAGCAGTAAACACAATGATGAATCAGATGTGACTGCATCTAAAAATTCTTCCGCAGAATAGAGTGAAGCAAAGAGGTTCAGGATCAGATCTGGCCGCAGTGTATCACACTCTGAGGTCAAAGCTACAGATAAGGGACAAGCTGCAGTGGGTAGCTCAGCACATCAGGCTTCACCAGGGAGAAGAGGAAAATCCCTGTGAGACTATAGCCCTCTGGTTCTAACCCCTCCCATAGGGCCTTTCGTGACCTTACTTTGGCCTCCTTCCCTTAGAAATGGATTCTAGAAGATGTTCCTTGAGCAGAAGATGCAAGGCTGCAGTCCCTGGGACAGGACGCTGCCATCCTCTCCCCGCCCAGGCTAGTTGCAGTGTTAATTGGTAGACATTTAAATCCAAGAATATTTGTTAAGCTTCTGCTCTGTTCTGGGTGGGCAGTACTCTAGACCATCCAGGAAAGTTCCTGCACAGGTAGAGTTTACCATCTGGTCAAGGTCATCTTGTTAAGAGCCAGGGTTCTACAATCAGTGAGATCAAGATTCAAATCCAAACTCCCCTTTCAGTGGTGACTTTGAATTAATGACTTAATCTCTCCTTGCCTCACTTTACTCATAAGTTAGGAATACTATTTAGTAGTGTCATAGGGTTATTGTGAGGTTAAAATGTGATTACACGTATGAAGGTCTTAATACAGTGCCTGGCACACATAGTACATATTAAATGTTTGCAATTATAGTGGCCTTTACTAATTTTTGAGTCGGAGTCTCACTCTGTCACCCAGGCTGGAGTGCAGTGGCATAATCAGCTCACCACTGCCTCGACCTGGGCTTAGGTGAATTTTCCACCTCAGCCTTTCAAGTAACGACCTACAGGCATGCACCACCATGCCCACTATTTTTTTGTACAGACAAGTTTTTGCTATGTTACCCACACTGGTCTCAAACTCCTGGCCTCAAGTGATCCTCCTACTTGGCCTCCCAGAGTGCTGGGATTACATTGTGCCCAGTCAACCATACTATTTTTACTGAAAAACATGTATGTGAATTCACTACTAAAAACCAATCCTCTGGCTCTTTTTAATTCACCTAGATGGAGCAGTCCTTTGTGACCTTGGAGGTCCAGCCTTCCTAGACATAACAGCCACTCCATTGTCTGTTCAGTAGATCCTGGAAAGCATTTTACACAGAGGAGGAGGAAGGCTGAGGGGCTGAACACTTTAATGTGGGCCATTAAGAAATTGTTATCTAGGCCAGGCATGGTGGCCCAAACCTATAATCCCAGCACTTTGGGTGGCCGAGGCGAGTGGATTGCCTGAGCCCGCGGGTTTGAGATCAGCCTAGGCAACTTGGCGAGACCTCATCTCTGTCGTAAATCAAAAATTAGCCGGGTGTGGTAGCACATACCTATAGTTCAGTTACTTGGAAGACTGAGGCAGAAGGATCGCTGGAGCCCAGCAGGTCGATGCTGGGGTAGCCATGAGCATGCCACTGCATTCCAGCCTGGGCAACAAAGTGAGACTTGGACTCAAAAAAGAAACTGTGATCTCATTTTAGAGTCATGGATGGTAAGACCAGAATAATACAGAGGTTTTTAAAATAGAGATATGGCTATTAACACTTACTTAGACTTTTATAACAGGGTATCCCACAAAGGGGAACTTAACTTTTTCCCTCCTTTAAAAGATTGCATTTACAGCCGGGCTCGGTGGCTCAGCCTGTAATCCCAGTGCTTTGGGAGGCTGAGGTGAGTGGATTGCCTGAGCCGGCGGGTTCGAGACCCACCTGGGCAACTTGGCGAGACCTCATCTCTACAATAAATCAAAAAAGGAGCTGGGC